GCAAAAGACGATACGAAAAACCCCTCCACCAGGGCACCTTCGTGACAACCCCTAGGAATTTAAAAGTACTGACCCTCTCCAACACTTCTGAACTGATGGAGAGGGGTTCGTGCTTTTTAGGCTGTTTTTTCCTAAAGTCCACAATCATTTCCTTGGTCTTTTTGGTGTTAAGAGCAAGGTTGTTGCTGTCACACCATGATGCCAGATGTTGCACCTCTGCCCTGTAGTCCCTCTCATCGTTGTTGGTGATGAGGCCCAGGACGGTGGTATCGTCAGCAAATTTGACGATCAGGTTGGAGGGAGAAGAGGCAGAGCAGTCATGTGTGAACAGGGTGTAGAGCAGAGGGCTTAAAACATACCCCTGGGGCGCGCCGGTGTTTATGGAAAGAGTGGAGGAGAAGTTGTTGCCCACTCTGACCCTCTGTGTACGATTGGTGAGGAAGTCCACAGTCCAATTGCAAAGGGTGGTGTTGAGTCCCAGTTGGTGAAGTTTGTGGCGGAGTTTGTAGGGCCGAATGGTGTTGAATGCTGAACTGTAGTCCACAAAGAGGAGGCGAGCATAGGTGTTTTGGTGCTCCAGATGCTCCAGCAGTGTGTGGAGCACGATGGCGATGGCGTCCTCTGTGGAGCGGTTTTCCCTGTAGGCAAACTGGTGTGAGTCGTGTGATGGTGGAGTTGCGGCTTTGATGTGCTTTATGACCAGTCTCTCCATGCACTTGGCGGGGATGGGAGTGAGTGCCACAGGCCTGTAGTCGTTAAGGCCTGTGACATGGGACTGTTTGGGAAGGGGGACTATTGTGGCGGCTTTGAAGCAGGCTGGTACCCATGAGGTGGACAGCGACATGTTGTAGATGGAGGTGAGGACGTCTGTGAGTTCCGCAGCGCAGTCTTTGAGCACCCGGCCCGGCACACCGTCCGGCCCGGGTGCTTTCCTGATGTTGATGTGGCGGAGAGCGCACCTCACCTCGTGTGTGGTCAGGACTGGGGCTGGGGCTGTGGGGGGGAGAGGGGGGAGGGCAAGGTCGGTGTTCTCCTTGTCGAAGCGGGCATAAAAGACATTTAAATCCTCCGCCAGGGTGGGACTGTTGGCTGGGATAGATGGTGTTTTCTTTTTGTAGTCAGTTATGGCCCTGATGCCCTCCCACACCTGCCTGGGATTAGCCGTGTCTGCAAATCTGGCTTCGATGCGCCTCCTGTGATGTTGTTTGGCAGACTTGATGCCCCTCCTCAGCGCAGTCCTAGCCCTGCTGTATGCCTCATGGTCACCAGACCTAAAAGCACTATTCCTAGCTCTGAGGAGTTGCTGTACTCCGTGTGTCATCCAAGGTGGAGTGTTAGGATACACACGGCTTTGTTTCCAAGTTGTAACATTGTCCAAACAGAAGCAGATGTAGTCTAGAACAGAGGTGGTGTAATTGTCCAGTATATCCCGCGTTACTGTGCCCTGCTCTCTGAAAACATCCCAGTCTGTGTGGTGGAAACAGTCCTGTAGCATAGGAACAGCGCTCTCTGGCCATGTTCTTAAAGTTCGGACGGTGGTCTCAGCACTCTTGATTTTGGGTGTGTACTGTGGGTGCAGCAGGAGGGAGAGGTGGTCTGACAGACCCAGGTGAGCTAATGCCTGGGCTCTGTAAGCATCTGCTACATTAGTATACACCTGATCCAGAGTTCTATCTCCTCTGGTAGCACATTTGACATTTCGGTGGAATTTATGCAGAACAGATTTTAAGTCCGCATGATTGAAGTCCCCAGCTGCGATAAAAACACTGACTGGGTGTGCTACCAGGCAGTTGTTGATGCTACTGTATACTTGTGCTAGTGCTACCTTAGCGTTAGCGTCTGGTGCAATGTAAACAGCACATATGTAAACAGCACTGTACTCACGAGGAAGGTAGAACGGTCGGCACTTAAGCAATAAAAGTTCTGCGTCTGGACTACACAGTTTATCCACAACCGTGTTGTTGGTGCACCAGGAGTTTGCGATGTAGATGGAAAGGCCGCCACCGGTTTTCTTACCCGAGTCCGCTGTCCTGTCGGCTCGGTAGACGCTGCGGTCCGCCAACTCGATAGCAGCATCGGGAGTGGAGCTGTCTAGCCAGGTCTCGGAGAAGATCATGCAGCAACAGTTGTTCAAGTCTTTCAGTGTGGACAGTTGCAGTCTGATCTCGTCGATCTTATTCCTGATTGATCGCGCATTAGAAAGGAAGATGGTAGGAAGCGGTAGTCTGAAGGGCTTAGCTTTTAGCCTCGCCCCGACGCCCGCCCGCTTGCCTCTCTTCTGCCCCCGCTCACAGCGCTTCCTCCTCCGACTCGCTGCTGCGGGTGTCCCGGTCGGTGGTTTGATGATCTCCGGAGGGATGGTATAGTGTCCGATCGGCAGGTACTGTGCACCGCGATTGAGTTGTAATAGTTCGGTCCGGCTGTATTGTAGTGCAAGAGTGCTATAACTGTGCGTTATAATAAAAACTACCACCAAATAAACATAAAAGCTACTAAAAAGTTTAGTATCCCGGGCCGCTGCGACTCTGCGCGCCGCCATCTTGGATCATCGTCAATACAATGTATTGTATACATACGATAAACAAAATAACATAGTGAATATATGTTGCATTTTCCAATACACTAAAAACCCTTTAAACATTTATATTAATTCTGACCTACTAGGATGGAGATGGGGACAGTACGGACCAACTAATGAAGATTGTCACAACATGAGGTCGCTCGGATCCAGTCCATGCAAGGATCATCATAGAGCGAACAGAGGTCTTAACAGGTGTGGATAATCCCAGAGCCTGTGCCTTGCTCATGGGGCTTATATATGCACTCAACCTCAGTTAAACAAAAGGACTAAAATATACTTCTGAAGTGTTTCGAAAGATCCTTGTTGAGCTGGATGATCTAAAAGCCAGGTCATGTTACTGAAAAATAAACTTTTATAATAAAAAGCATCCTCAAATTAAAGAGGAAAATGTTGTGCTGTTTGCAATGTTAGGTTTTACGTTCAAATTGCAGTGTGTAATTTAGTTCACCTATAGTATAGTGCAGTTACAAATTATGCACTTTCAGTGATGCAAATAATAGATAACAGTCTGATCAGCATTACTGTCAAAATGTTAGTTATCTCTGGGAGTTTTACTGGGCTGTTTTATATTTATTTTATGGGGGCTACAGTTTTTTGCTATTAAAATGTTAATATGCAGCCTTGAATAAATTGTTCATAAAACTGGAATTTAATCGTGTAATGTATTTTAACTAAGATAAATAAGCTGATATTACAAAAAAAAAAAAATAAGGTAACAATTTACATTTTTGACTAGAATCAAAGGAAAATAATTTGGTTCCATAACTAAAAGGAGTCAATTTTACACAAAGAAAATTAAGTTGGTTCAACTTAATTAAGCTTGTAAAGGACAAAGAAAATCATGTTGCCTGTGCTAAAGTAAATTAGTTTGTCTAACCAGATAAACCTTGTGGCACTGACTCAATTATGGCTAAGTTAAAATAACTAACAAATCTATGAAAGTTGTTACATCAATTTTTAAAGTTGAACCAACATTTTCTTTTTTAGAGTGTACTTAATTATTTTGTCATTTGAAGATTCACTGGAGTTTTCCACAATTAAGCTTTAAGTGTGACGATCTGGCTCCGCCCACCGGCTCAATCCCTCCTTGCAATCA